TCAGATCACCTTGTGATGCTATTGCCATTTCAAACTGTTCACGGAATTCTTTCACAGTTCCTTTTTGTTTCAAACCTAATAAAGGCCCCAAGGGATTGTGTACTAGCTCTGGTTGGAATCTGCAAGTTAAGGCTTCCATCATAGTGTCCTAGTTTCTCTCGCGCGTCTGGTTCTCCCACCACTGAAACCAACTCAGTGCTCTATCTTCCATCGCGACCACTGCTACGTTAACTTTCTCTTCTTCCTCGATCTGGTTCAGACGGAAATATCTATCGATCCTCACCAACCATCCGTATGCGTCATCTCCATTGAATAGTGGTAAATCGATCTTCCTTCCCGTTCGATGGTGTGTGTTATGTTCTTGGTGATGTCGATGTCTGCGATGAGAAGAATGATCAGAACTTCCGTCGGATTCATCATCCTTCGTTGAATTTCGCGATCGATGTCGGTAATTAGTGCGATGCGATGTCGAGGAAACATGTTATCTACTTCCCGAACGAACTGGAAGTCGATTCTGAATGTCTGCGAGGGTGGTTTGCATAGCGACCATCATCGTCTCCAAAGTATCCTGCCTTCCCACCGCTTCTCTTTGGTTTCTTGCTATGTCGTCCATGTTTCTTTCCACTTCTGTTATCCAGCGATCAACGTGCTCTGATACCACTGATAGAAAAGATCAATTCTACAAACAATTCACTGCAAAAGATCAAGAAAGCAATCTGCAACTTTATTGAGAGAGAACAAGAACAATACAAAGGCCGGAGCCCCCAAAGATAGAGTTAATCACTCTGATCTTCCCAGAAAGACTTAATAGTCAAAACAACCTGACTCCAACTCTATAGTCTATTCTATTTATAGTGTATCAGTATAACCGTATGTAGTTATTAGTTATTAACAGACTTCTAACTAACAGCTACTCAGTTACTTCTTTCTTCTAGAATAGACCCTTCCATAATACTTGTCATCTTTGTTCGGATTCCCAGAGTCTCTATCAACTTACAAGCATACTCCAATCATGCTCACATTGAGAGGAGGAATAACAAAGATTGACTTTGTTCCATTGAATGTAGGCGCAATAGCAAGTCGACCAAAGCATCCCACCAATCAATTTTATATTTAACACATAAAAGTTTTACCTATATGTTTTAGTAAATCCAAACCAAATCTAAATATGTTTTGGTCATCCTGGGAGCTGGATTAATTATATCTTATGTCCCTCCAATTATGAACCCATTTGGTGATCCTATTTTTGGCTTATTAGCCTTAATGGTCAACTTTTTCACTAAACACGTAATTTTTATTTTGTGTTCTGAATTATGTAATATTCAAAACAACTAAGGTTGAAGTTACTTTTAATTTTTTATTAGCTATCTTTCATAAATATTTTTCTTTATTTAATTAATAAAATATACTTCAAATATAATTTTTTCATAATTCAATAGCTTCGGCCAATTCAGCCGCTTCAGCCAGAGTTATATTAATTTCAACAGATTCAGGCGATTCAGCCAATCTAGTGTTACCAAACAAGCTCCGAATTTTAGATATCATTATGTTTTAGCAACTACGAAAGAATCTTTGTTATTTGTTGGTTGAATGCGAGTTACTTTCCAAAACATCCTTGTAATTTGTTATAATATGCCGTGACCATCTTTTTGCACACATTGTTAAACATTATCATTGTCAAGATGCATATGTAGATTTGTTTTGTTTTGAGGTGCAAAATATTTAATAAAAAAAGAGCAGCTCGGTATACGAAAGCAGGGAGCACTAATTTATTATATTGCCATTTTGACTAGACACAAAGATTTAGAAAGTTTAGTCAAAGTAATGAAGTACTCCTAAAATTCAACTACAACAACATTATCCCAGTGCCGCAAAGACTCCCACCTATGGTAGGGTAACACGGGGTTAGATGTAATTACATGGGCTGACTGTTGCTTCATAACAAAAAAATGCAGATAGTTTAGTGAGTCATTTTGCTTTATTCCAATCATATTACCAAACCAAAAAATAATGAGTCTTTGGCTCCATTGGAAATAATGGAAAATACTCCTAATATTCAACTAATGTTGATTATTGATTAGTTCAGCATTGAATGTGTTAAAATGCATTACATGTTTCTTTTAGCTTTAGAAGTACGAGTGACCACTTTTTTGGGATGTTTTTACTTGTACTGTAATTTGCTGGTCTGGTCTGGTCTGGTCTGGTTTCTTTGTATTTTTATAACTATCCAAGTCTGGTCTGGCGGGGTCTGAACTGGTCTGGTCTGTCTTGCCAGTTAGGGGTTATGCTAATGCGTAGGGCCCATTCCTTTTGGACAAGTTTATCATTTCTTCCCAATTTTCCATCCCCTAGTGGAGGGATATAAACCTTTAAAATAGGCACTTCCCAAAGAAAAATGCGAGCACCTGTGTTTTTCCAGCTGGGAAACTTTCAACTGGAAACATAACACAAGCAGTGAAATTCCCGAGGTTATCGAAATTAAACAATTGAAAATGAAATTATATTGCGATGAAAATTTTCAACCAATAACCTGGCCACAGCAGATTCCATAAAGCGTGCACCTTGCCTTCTCTCCGCGTTTAGTGCCTCAGGAGGCAAACACATTAATCGCCCCAGTGGTTGTTGTAAATTTGATGGTTTATTTGTGTAGTACTCCTTTCGTTCCGTTAAGATTGTCTCATCTTTCCTTTTCAGCCCGCTTCACTAAGATGGTCTCATACCAATTTTGTAAAGTTTTTGTGGTTATAAATCATTCTTACGTTATTTTTCCTTTATCAAATCAATATCAACCACATAAACTCACTTTTCTTAATGACCGCACCGCCTCCCCATGTCCCAATGTTATTGGTATGGAGGTAATATTTAACAAGAGGTCATGTACTTATCCATTACATATCAAACTCTTTCCCTTCTCCATCACATGTTTCTCTCTTTCACGTAAGTTTTTCTTTTTTGAGGAAAATTCTCAAAACAGGATTAAAAACGTTTAAGAATTCCAAAAATAAGAATACTATATTTTTATTGCCTGAATAAGAGTAATTTCTATCAAGTTTGAAAAATACTTGCCTGTTTAAAGCCCAATAATGCCAAAACATGACAACAATTACTCCCATATAAGGAATAAAAATAGGGAAAAAGGTACATATATACCCCTGTAATATAGGTGGAGGAACAAATATACCCATGTTCTATTTTTCGGAACAAATATACCCCTGAACTTTAAAAAAGGTGCAAAAACATCCCTCATGTTTGTATAAAGGAGCAAATTAATCCTTATTGACTTTACATTAATAAAATATATTTTAAAAAAAGACCAAAAATAAATTAAAAATTGAAATTAAAATATAAATATTTTTAAAATGTAATTGTGTCCAATTCTCCCTTTATTATTTGTATATCACAATTTAATATTTTTAGTATAAAATATTATTTCAAAATATGTAATTTTATAGTGCAAACAATGCAAAAAAAATAATTTTTCTTTACATTGCGAAACATATGTTAGCGCCTTTCCGAAAGAATCTTAAACATATAGTAAAATTTTGAAATAATATTTCATACTTAAACAATATTAAATTGTGATATAAAAACTATAAAAGGGAGAATTGGACACCATTACATTTTTAAAATTTTTTGTTTTTTAATTTCGAATTTATAATTTATATTTGGTGTTTTTTTAAATTTATTTTATTAATTTAAAGTCAATAAGGATTAAGTTGCCCCTTTATAAGAACAAGAGGGATATTTTTGCACCTTTTTAAAAGTTCAGGGGTATATTTGTTCCGAAAAAAAGAACATGGGTATATATGTTCCAACACCCATACTACAGGGGTATATTTGTTCCTTTTCCCATAAAAATATAGTAGTCATGTTTTGAAATCGACAAACGTTTATACTCCTGTTTACTCTTATTTAGGACAATTTCTTTTTTATTTTTATTCTACGCATGCTCTGTTCTACTTGACTCCTGTTCTCATGCTCTTTTGCTCCAATCGCAAGTAGACAGTTTGCGCCCATGCTCTCCTTTCCTTTCCAATAAGTTATTAACTTGCCTAATCTGTGACTCTGTGTGCATGAATATGTGTTGCCGACCTAGTTTGCATTTCCAGCAAACTTAAGTTAACTTTGAAATTCCAATTTATAACTAGAAGCCTTTACATTCAACTAGAAGTTATAAAGCTAACGTGTAATCTTTCTGATAGTGATATATTCAAAAGCCTTAATAAACTAGAAGCCTTAATCCTTTCTGATTGTAACCAGCAAGCCGTAATTTGTAATCTTTTTGATAGCATTGGAGCTAGAAGCCTTAATATTTTAACCATGTAACTAAGGCTCCAAAGATTCATTATTTTTTAGCTTGAGAATATGATGGAACAAAGCAAAATGACTCACTAAACTGTTTGTTCTTCTTTGTTATGAAGCAACAGTCAGTCCATGCAATTTTGGACGCGATTTTCACTATGGGTCATCCAGAAATAGTCTCTCTGTGCTTTAGTACAGGGGTAAGACTGCGTACACCCGACCCCCCTTACCCCACCGTAGTTGGGAGGGAGCCTTTGCGGCATTGGGGTAAATGAAAATGAAAATGAAATGAACTGAGTAGCTAACTGATATGTTTTAATTTTAAAGTCCAGGACACATTAATCTAGGACACACTAAATTAGTAAATTCAAACTTTACATTACAAGCTTTAGTTAAATCAGTGAACTTTATTATGCATGCTTTGGTGTTCAATATGCTTGTTTAGTGACTTGTGGTATTTTTATGATTTAATCATTATTTTTGGGTAGAAGGTATCATGTACAAGTTGTATATATATTGTTCGCAAATCTGTATGCTTATGTTCTGTGAGGCGCGTGCATTCGCTTTGCGTAGCTTAATTTAACAGTAACGCCTTGTGGCGCCTCATGCCTTTTAAAACAAAGGTACTATTTTCAGAACCAAAGAACCCTCCTGTTTTCGTTCTCTTTCGTGTCATGAATTATGGTTTCTTGCGCTAGGGATGCTACCTATATTACAACTAGTGGTTCTATCATAGCTGCTGCGGGGTATAGCTCCAATGGGGTTAATGTTGTTATATGGGATACACTGGCTCCACCAACTACATCTCAAGCATCCATAATGTGCCATGAAGGTTTCTCTCGTTTCTTTTTCAGTGATCTTTAAATTTCAAATTTTTATTTCAAAAATAAATTCTGCGACACTTATTTGGGGGGGGTGGGGGCGGGGTGAGGTGCATAGACCAGACTCTGATCTAGCTCTTTGTGGGATGCTGCTGCAGGTGGTGCGAGCTCTCTGTCGGTATTCGATAATGATATAGGAAGTGGGTCGATTTCTCCTCTTATTGTCACCGGAGGAAAAGGTGGTGATGTTGGAATCCATGATTTCCGCTACATAGCAACAGGGAGGGCGGCAAAGAAAAATAATAAGCATTTTGATATGAGTCAACAGAGCGTGCATTCCACTGTAGACATGCATTATAGAACTGGTGATCAGAATCGAAATGGTATGTTATGGTACATACCCAAGGCCCACACAGGTACACTGCTACGGTTGGTGCTGAGTATTAGAACTTTCAATAATTATATGTGTACACAACTAATATCTTCAGCTCTTTTGAAGCGAGTGTCACCAAGATTTGTACTATACCGAACACAAGTTTTTTCTTGACGGGCAGCAAAGACGGAGATGTAAAACTTTGGGATGCAAAGAGGGCGAGACTAGTATTTCATTGGCCAAAACTGCATGAAAGGCACACTTTCCTGCAACCAACCTCTCACGGCTTTGGTGGAGTTCGGGTAAAAAATATATAGAAAAAAAGTGATGATGTGTAATCTTATTCTCCCTCCGGTCCAAATGTTTATGCACGGAAATATTTATATGATGAAAATATGAAAATGGTATGAAAATGTTCTTTGTTAGAAATACTATCATGGAAGTATAAAATTTATAAGTTTCACATAAATATATTATTTAAAATGATTGATCAAAGTCTACCATCATTGACTGGAAAAGTCAAAGTTGGCTAACTAGAATGGGACGGAGGTAGTATATTAGCTTGGGTTGTTAGTGATTATTATTATTTTGCAGGCAGGTGTTACAAATATGCAAATTGTTTCTACTGGTTTTGTTTCTTGTGGCGGAGATGGTTCTGTAAGGCTGGTTAGTGTGAAAGGAGGCGTGAAACATGCGCACACAAATAACTTATATTCAACCAGCTAGTCGAGTTGAAATCGTTTCCCCTTGCATTGGCTCATTATTTGGTGATATACAAAGTAGTTTGACTTCTCAGTTCTGGATGTCGGTGAACATAATTGGTTCTGCAAGGCTGATACTTGATACTTGTCAATCCAGTCCTCCATCGTTTGGTGAAATGTTGAGGAATGCCTGAATGTCTAAATGAGCTTTCTCGTGAGTTATTTTCTCCAAGAATCAACATAAATCAATTTCCCTTGTGGTCTGAAATTGTTCTATGCTGTAAATCAAATTTCCCTCCATCACATACATACCGTTGATATCTTATTTAGAGATGTATGGCTACAAGGTCAAATACTTAAAATTGCCAGTTCATTCATAATTAATACATCAGCAATTATTTATACATTCCCTTGATCCCTTGATCCCTTGATCCTATCACTAATGACAAATTATATCCTACAACTGGGTGTACATCTGGATGTACCATGTATATGAGACAACAAGATAAGTTTGTAACTGTTTGCAAGTTTAAGCCCTTTGGCTTAGGGATTCACTTTTGCTGATTGAAACTGAACTGCGGTCATTTACTTGGTCTGAAAATTCTAGATCTATTAATTTGTCTTATGAACAAAATCTATGTGAAAGATTTGTTCGGATTACAGAACCTGGGATTCTTTTGCTTCACTGTGCATTCCACAAGGTTTGAAAAGGTTGGGATTGTAGGGTCTTGAAAGAAGTTGGAAGTGAAAAACCAAACTTGCTGTCAAATTGGTACTGGCGTGGAAAGTAGCTCCGACTGTAGAGGATCCAAGACTTTAGAGTTTTAACTACAATTGGCTATAACAGACTCAAATTATGCAGATTTTTCTGTCTCAGATCTTTTGTTTCAATCCGATATTCTTAATTCAACATCTTGGGATAATTCTATTAAAAAAGAAAAGGCCTCGTCACTTTCGATTAGGGCTGGACTCGGGCCGGTTCGGGCCCGGTTCGGGCCTGGGCCCGGCCGGGCCTCGGGCCAGGAAAGGGGAGACCCGAGCCCGAACCGCCGGTGGCCGGTTCCGGTTCCGGGCCGGGCCGAGCCGGCCCAATTTTTTTTTTTTTTTGTTCTCCTATTTAATCCCCTACCCCTCCCCCTCAACCCCAAACCATCCCAAACCACCTCAAATGGCCCAAAATACCTAATTCAACCTAAAACTTAAAAAAATTTCAAAAAAAAAAAAATTTAAAATCCGGCCCGGACCGGGCCCGAACCGGCCGGGCCGGTTCACCAAAACCTGGGCCCGAGCCCGGACCGCCCAGCACCCGGGCCGGGCCAAACTGAACCGGTGGACCCACCGGGCCACGGGCCGGGCCGGGCCAAACAGTGACCGGTCCGGTTCGGTCCCGGGTCGGGCCGCCCGGCCCGAGTCCAGCCCTACTTTCGATTATGGATGCTCGTTTCAAACAAATGGAGTCCTATTTGCTACAGATTGATAGCGAGATTTGGAATTTACATGATAAATGGGAGAACCAACAACTTTCTGACCTCCCTAAGATAATACATGAGACGTCTATGGAGGTTTTTGACAAGATTTTTGAACAAAAAAAGATCTTGTCAAATTCTTCATCCCCCGATTTTCTTCTATTGCGGGAGTTTTTTGCCGAAACAGTTGAGGAAGGAATGGTTAAAAGGGCGATTTCAAAAGTTGGGGAAGAGACTTTAGAGGAATTTTTACACGCTCTTGATAATGGTGGGGTAGGTCTATACTAGGGCTGGACTCGGGCCGGGCGGCCCGACCCGGGACCGAACCGGCCCGGTCACTGTTTGGCCCGGCCCGGCCCGTGGCCCGGTGGGTCCACCGGTTCGGTTTGGCCCGGCCCGGGTGCTGGGCGGTCCGGGCTCGGGCCCAGGTTTTGGTGAACCGGCCCGGCCGGTTCGGGCCCGATCCGGGCCGGATTTTAAACTTTTTTTTTTTTTTGAAATTTTTTTAAGTTTTAGGTTGGATTAGGTATTTTGGGCCATTTGAGGTGGTTTGGGATGGTTTGGGGTTGAGGGGGAGGGGTAGGGGATTAAATAGGAGAACAAAAAAAAAATTAATTGGGCCGGTTTGGCCCGGCCCGGTTTGGCCCGGAACCGGAACCGGCCACCGGCGGTTCGGGCTCGGGCCTCCCCTTTCCTGGCCCGAGGCCCGGCCGGGCCCAGGCCCGAACCAGCCCGAGTCCAGACCTAGTCTATACTTTCTCTTTGATGCTGCAGCAGAATACCTAGAAGAAAAATACCGAGACCGCTCCACAACGGACAAATACCTCTACTCAATTTTAGAGAAAGTGGCTATAGGTACAACAGGTCTCACACGAAAGAACTTTAAGGACCTTCTGCGAGACTCAGGACCACATCAAATTCTAAAGCACAAACCACTAAGTGATCACACCACCTACAAAGAATCTCCTATTTACAAGGATGCACTTCTTGAACCCCAACAAGTGGGACATGATGGTTTCACATCGGTAGTCTCCAGAAGGGACAAAAAGCGTAATGCCAATTCAGTTAGAATTGTCCAATCTCGGTAGCAATCCTATCGAGCTTAGGATTTCTCTTGGGCTTTTAGGGAGTGCTCAGGGATTTTTAGGGAGATCAGAGGGTTAAGGTTTGGGGTTTCTTTAACTTGATGGTTTGCATTATTGTCATGTTTTGCTATAGGTTTTTAATATTTTGCTCTCTCTTTCTCTCTCTCTCTCTCTTTAATTCTTTTAGGACCCTACTTTCTCACTTTTGTCTGTTTTGAGTGGATGTACTCTCATTAGCGATTGTACTTTGATCTCATTTCGATTAATAAAATCATTGCTTTTAAAAAAAATGGTCTAGTTCAGAGTCCCATAATTGGTTACCCGGATCCGAGTAATACAAACCAGGGGTACCAGTTCCAAACTACCTTTGGGACCGAAAAACCGGTCTTTTGACAGTTCTGAGCTGTCCCATGACTTTTGCCCACCGGGCCAATTCCAGTCCGGGACCAAATACCAATGTCTAGTCCACCTCTAGTTACGTCCCTCAAATTAGCATTAAAGAAAATTTATTTATAATTGTTTATTTGACTACATTGATTTATAAATTATACACTATATGAAAGAAATTGATTAAATGTTGGAAAACTGACAATTTGGTCCTCGACTCGTCGTACATTCGTACCATCATGAAAATGTCAATTATGTCCTCATACTTTTTAAAAATCAATCAAATCCTCAAACTTTGAAAAATTATTCAATGGAATCAATTAGCAAATTATCTGCCATGTCAGCAAGTTACCCGCTAACATGACGCACATGTGGCGGTCCACATGTGCACCACATCATAAAATGGTTGAGTGGGCTTCCACGTGTGCGTCTAGGGGTGGACTCGGGTCGGGCCGCCCGGCTCGGAACCGGACGGCCCGGTACCTGGTCTTGGGGACGGTTCGGGCCAACCGGAACCAATCTAATCCCGGTGCGGGCTCAGACCCCCTAAAATGCGAATCCCCGGCCAGTACGGGCCTGGTTCGGGCCAATTTTTTTTTACTTTCTACCTGGTTGGGCCTGGGTGTTTTGGGGGAGTTTGGGGCGTGAGGGGGTGAAGCGGGGGGTGAAGGGGGGGTCAGGAGTTATTTTGAAAATCAAAAGAAGTTAAGAAAAAAATGAATTGAACCGGAAACCGGCCCGGCCCGGCCCGGCCCGGCCCGGCCCGAAACCGCCGGCTACCCGGCTCGGTTCCGGTTCCTTACTTCCCAAACAAAAGCCCGGCCGGGCCCAAACCGGAACCGGCCCGGGTCCACCCCTATGTGCGCCACATCAACAAAGTCAATGTTGATTGGGTTGCCACATCATCACGTGACTCGCTAACGTGACAAGTAATCTAGTTATGGACTCAAGTAAACAATTTTTAAAAGTTCAAGGAATTGATTGATTCTTTTAAAAGTACGAGAACTTAATTGACGTTTTCGTGATAATACGAGAACCAAATTAATAGTTTTCCCTTACATATTTCATCAAAAACTTGCATCAGTCTCCTAAACAAAAACTAACAGAAAGAGCATGAGTATGACAGGAATAAAATATACGATTTGACTAATAGCATCAACAGGAATGATAACAAATGGCCACAAGTCAGGTGTGAAATTACTCCGAAATAAAACAAGGTTTACAACTCAAATCCAGTAAAATAGGATCAGCATTCAAACAAAATCGAACATCCACACAGACAAGAGTTACCACACTGCATGTGTACACTGTAGAAGCACATAACAGAAACCGACGTTTGCAAGAAATTATATTATGAAGTGAGATACAACCAAAACTTGAACATAAAGAAATGCCTACTATTCAAGTATAGATAGAGTTGTGAACTGCACATGATTTCAAGAACCTAACTACTGTTGTCAGCTCGCTGGCAAAGGAGCTATTGACCTCCCATCATCTGTCAACAAATGGATCTAATATCCAGGAAAAAACATCAGAAATAAGTTAAATATGATTTTTTTAGGTATCCAACAACTAAAGGAAAAAACAATGAATCGTGACTTTTTGAGGATGTAGTACAATTATTTATCTTGGTGAGAGGTGCAACTTTTAGCGAATGAATCCTACTCCATTTTCAATTTATTTGTTGGACGAACTTAACTAAACAAGTTGATTTGTTCTTGAGTTAATGCATATTTACATGAAAAGGGTTGATGGGTAATATCTTTCTAAGGAAAAAAGGAAGTTTTTGAAAAGAATTCTTCTTTTCCCTCTTGGAATGGAGAAATCCGAAATTTCACCATTCGACTAAACAAGAACGTTACCTTGAAGAAATCTCCAAACATTCCCTGCAGTGAGCTTTGGCGTTGTACTCCATAAAAAAATTCTGCTATTTCATCTAACAACTACACGACCAAACATGGAATCAAACTAATGAAGAGAGAACAACGCAAGCATGATCTCACCAATTGAAATTTTTTATCACAATTGCTGTATTATGTGTTAGTGTATTACTCGATTGATTGAATAATCTCATATTCATTAATCTTAACTTTTTCGAAAAACTATGAACGCCTCAGCTTCTGAAAATGTGTCCTGAAGAAAGTTTAAATTTCTGAATAAGTGGAATATTGGAAATTCGATAAAAAATACTCCCTCCTTCCCAGAAAATTCTTTCCGGTTTGACTTGGATCAGAGTTGTAAAAAGTGGGAATAAAGTGGAAATGTATGATTGAGGTTGATTAAGAAAAAGGTAAATGAATGTTAGCCACACAAAACTTTCCAAAAAGGGAAATGGGAAGAATTTTTGGGACGTCTAAAAAAGGTAAGTGAGAAAAATTTTAAGGGAGGGAGTATTTGATTTTATTCCACTTGTACACGTATCCACCTACATTTATAATGATAATTATGAAGAATGACACTATTTTAATACACGGGAAACAAATGATTATTCATTTTAGTATTGTTTTGAACTGAGTTGCATAAATTTTTATATGAGCAGTCCAATCAAAATGAGTCACA